TTTAACTTAATATGAATTAGGTATTTTTCCATATTAATATATAAAGCCCAAGTTTTTTAAAATTATTGTTTATACTGTTACAATTGTCCCAATTTTTCGTACTTTGCCCCCCTCCACCCACCCACTCTCCACTTCCATAGTCAGTCCCCCACAACATTGCCTGTGTCCCAGGCTTCTTCATGCAGGTTCTTCAATTAATCCCTTCACCCCCTTTCAAATAGTCCCCGCCTCCCTCCTCCCCTCTTACCATTGCTGGTTTATTCCATGAGTCTATGCCTCTGTTTCTATTTTGCTCATTAGTTTATTTTCCATTCTTTAACGTAATCCTTTTGCATTCTTAGGTTTTAGTAGTGCCTTATAGATATATAACATTTTTTTCCTAGATAAACTTTAGAATCATTTTCACTAGTTCCACTACAAACCCTAGTGGTATTTTATCTGAATAGACCAATTTATCCCACTTTATTCTTCTTTATCAAAATTGTTTGAAATTTGATGAACAGATTAAATCAAGATGAATACCCTTCCTATTGAAAAATTACCCATGCCTTTCCATTTATACAAGGGTTTTGTTGTTGTTTTAACCCCTAAATATTTAAATTTTTCTTCATCTGTGTCTTAAACATTTATTATTAAACTTATTCCTAAATTTTTTTGGTTGCTTTGTTGCTTTTGTACGTAAGATCTCTCCCTACCCTCCTATATTTCTCCAGAAAATAGATTGAATGCTCAGTTTATTTAATTCACAATATCAATAAAAAGAAATATTTTATAACATTGAAACATCCTTAAACTCCTAGAATGAAGCCTAACCAGGCTTCTATTACTTTCCCATAGTTTTCAAGAGGAGAAGCAGGCAGAACAGTTTTTATTGTCATCTTAATACAAGGAACACCAAAAAAAAAAATGTTTTAATGTGAGAAGATTTGTCCATTCTCCCTAGTGGGCAGAGAGGAAAGGTTTAGGGAGGCCCTGGAACCGTGGGGACAGAGGGTACAGGAGAAGCAGCCTTATAGCTTGGTGGGAGGAAACGTCGCTGCCAGCCCCGTATATGGATAGATTTCCAGAATACTGACATGTGAAAACCAGCCTTAAGTTTTGAAGTACGTTGTGTACTTTTTCCATCATCTCTCATTCCTAGGGGTATTAGGATGTGGTCTTGCTTACTGATTCAAAGAACCCAAATCAATGTGGTTTAAGTGTGGTGAAAACTTATCTCTCACTTGTATATCATCCAAAGGTGAGCAGTCTAGGACAGATACAGCAGCTCCATGACTACTCCTAGCTGCTGTGTCACCTGCAGGGGCCACATCTTCACCCACATGGTCCAAGATGTTCACCTCCTTGATGGCATTCCATGTAATTGATGGGGGGTGTGGTACTGGCCCAGGGAGGGCGTGTCCCTTCTCTTTAAGGGCACAGCATCACTTCACTTCAACAGGGGCCGGGAAGCGTGTTACTTTTCCGGGTCTGTCTTCGTCTTGCTAGAGATTCTGTTACCATATAAGAAGGGGAGAACAGAGGTGGACAGTGAATGTGTGGTCTCTGCTTCTGTGTACCTCCTGCGGAACTTTTGTACCTTGGTGTATGCCTGTCTTAGAAGTCAGAGCTTCGTGGTTATTTAGGAGGCCTTATTTTCTTACCTATAAAATTAGGTGACTGGTTTGTGATCCAACATTTGGGGCCAGCATTCCTGTGACACTGATCTGCTAATTTCTTCCTTTAAAAAAAAAAGAAAGATTTTATTTATTTATTTTTAGAGAGATGGGAAGGGAAGGAGAAAGAGAAAGAGAAAGAGAGAAACATCAAGTGTGAGAGATATATCAACCAGTTACTTCTCACAAGCCCCCAACCAGGGACCTGGTCTGCAACCCAGACCTGTCCCCTGGCTGGGAATTGAACCGGCAACCCTTTGGTTTACAGGCCAGCACTCAATCTACTGAGCCACACCAGCCAGGGCTAATTTCTTCCATAGACAATCCTTTATTCCTAGCTAAAGGTCTACTTTCTGAGCCTAGGAAGTGGACACAACACTTACTGCCAAGAGCAATGTAGTCCCCAGCAGTCACTCTGCCCAACTGTGGGACCACTTTCCTATCTGAATGAGAGATGGGTAAATTTACATAGGTAAATTGCTCATTTTGGGAAATAGTGATGATCAGAATCGGGGCAAAGCAGGGAAGGGCCCCTGACAATGGTCAGTGATCCCAGGCGTAAGACATATCCCAACTCCAGTGACACAGAAAGAAGGGTTCTACCCTGGAGTTGGAGCTGAGGCCTTTGGATTATGTCAGCAACAAATATTTATTGCACACCCACTTTGTGCCAGGCCTTGTGCTTTAGCTGAGGATAATGATGTTGAACAAGATACAATAGACATAGTCCCTGTTCCCTGGAGTGACCAGAGAAGACATAGTGAAATAGTCACCATTAAATAAGCACAGAAGTGTAAGCACTGAGAAGGACGGAGTGCTGTGATGCCTCATAACCAGCAGGCTTCCGTTACACTGGCTGGTCAGGGAAGACTTGCTTTCCAAGGGAAATAGAATTTGGGCTGAGACCATGTAACAGTCAAGACAGAGGGTGGGAAGGAAAGGGAAGAGCATTGTAGGTTTAGAAAACAGCCTGTTCAGCAAGAGGGGCTGAAGTAGAGAGATGGGGGAGAATGGGAGTGCCAAGAGGCTGGAGAGGTGATTGTGGGCCCCTCCAGCTACCTACCAGTGCAGGGAGGGATCAGCTGGAACGAGAAAGACAACACTATCTGGGTTGGGAAGGACCCTAATGGTGGTCCAATCCAGTGGCTTTTAGTGCCACTTACCATCCCCAAGGGTTCATTTTAGGAGTTTAAAGAAGGTTTTATTTATTTTTAGAGAGAGGGAAAGGGAAGGAAAAAGGGAGAGAAACATCAATATGTGAAGGATATATTGATCAGTTGCCTTTTGCACAACCCCAACTGGGGATCTGGCCCGCAACCCAGGCATGTGCCCTGACTGGAATTGAACCAGTGATCTTTAGGTTCACAGGCCAGCACTCAGTCCATTGAGCTACTTGAGGATTTTCTGGGAGTATTTTTTGTTACAGGGTTTAGTGGTGGTGCGTGGAGACCAAGAGTGCCACAAATCCTGCAATGTACAGGATGGCTCCTCCTATTGAACAGTTTTCACAGACATTCCTGTCTTCTTTGACATTTATGTAGGTAAAAACTGCTTATAAAATACCTGAATCTAGAGCCCATCTTTCAGATAAACTCAATATGCTTTTGCAGTTTTAACATATGCTGTTTCTCCAGGAATATGATCAAGACAAGATTGTACTGTGTTTCATTTAAACTTTAATGAAAAGGGTTCACCATTTTGGATCCCACCTTGTGATTTTTTGAAACAGCAATATTAAGTCACAGCATTGTGGCTGTGGCATTCAGGCACATTCTAAGTGAAAAGGAAAAAATCTGACCGCTTCCTATGTCTCCTACAGCAATAGCCATGACCAAACATTTACACATTTAAATGCGGGGGTTTTTCCATTTATTAATCTAGACTTTATTGAGGTCCTATCATGCTGGAGTGCCAGGGTTGCGGTGTGACCAAGAGACATTGTACTCGTCCTCATAAAACTTACAATCTCACAAGGGTGACATTTCTGTATCTCCAAGGAGAGATTACCTCCACCCATATTGAACTTCCTCTGCAGTCTGACTGTCCTTCATTAGCATGCAAACACCACAGTAGAAGACAGGGATTTTGCTGGCATTGTTTTATACTGGATTTCCAGTTCCTACCGCTGGCTGTGAAGGTGGGTGAGGAGAAGGCTGTCCCCAGTCTGGAGAGGCGGAGAAGGATTAGAATCCCCTCTCCAAACCTCACAGAGACAGGGTCGCGGGTTAGCCCGATTGGAGCTCCCACTGACCACTGCTCCCCTAGTTGCAAGTCTCAGGAGGCCAGAGGAGAGAGAGAGAAATAGTGTCCTCGTACAGGCCCCCAAAATGTTAGGTGATGTGGGCTGTAAAAGAATTCACAAAAAGAGAAGAAAGTGTAGATAGTAAAGCTTATGTCCACTCTTCAAGAAGGGAGAGGGCGCATTGTGCAGAGAGATACACCAGACAATATATGTTTTAAATTACAAATTATTTTCCATTTATTTATCCTTTATTACAGTTAAGGCATTAGTTTTTAAAATGTAGGTCGTTTATATTATCAATGCTCTTCTAAGCATTATGATTTTCATGACAGGAGAATAAAGTGGTCACTAGGAAACATTTGTTACAAAAAGGGTGGTTGTGGTTTGATACGTGTAAGCCACCAATCCATTCTTTAGACTCCCAAATCTGATTGCACTCGCAACTTTCCTAAGATACAGATACCCCTGGGTTGAATTCAGCGCTCGCTTCTGAATCTTGCCTGCCCCATCCCACCCCGACGAGCAAATGCAACGTGAACGAGACCCACGCGAGGTGGCGCAGAGCGCAAGGATTCCAAGCACCCGGGCTTTGAGCGCAGGGGGCGGGGCCGGAGCACCACCGAGAGGGAGCGGCGCTGCTCCTAGAAAGGCTCTGACGAGGCCCAGCGACGCACTTCCGGTCACACCACGGAGCCGCTCGCTACGGAGGTGAGTGAGGGGCTGAGGGGCTTCGGGGGATGGGGTGGTATCCTGACCTGGAGGCGCTGGGTGCCTAAGGGATGTCCGTCCACCCGGTTTGGAGCTGCGTCTCCCGCCCCTGTAGGAGGGAGCAGGGCGGCGGCCTTTCCTCGACTCCCGCCTTGGACTTGGTGGCTGAAAACGCTCTGTCTCGTGGGAAGCGAAGCGTGTGTTACTGTCATATCCACGAATCCCCGTATACTTAGTTCGGGAGAGATGCTATGGCTTTGAGGAGGATGTGCCGGAGCAGCCAGAGGGTGGAATATATGCAAGAGTGAAGCGGCCTGAGGTGATAGTCACGAGTCTTTTAACATATTGAGGGCGTGCAGGGGCTTTTACCAGGTATGGATTGTATGCTCTCTGGTGCCTGACACAGGGTCTCGAATCAAGGCACAGTGGGAGAGCGTAAAAGGCAGGGCCTCTCTCATCCGCCCGAGAGCAGAAGCAACGTGCTTTTGGAAGGCGTCGTCTTCTGGAGCTGTGTCAGTTCCAAAAGGTAAACTGAGCCCTCCTCTCGGGCCGTGGGGTGACAATGACCTGGGAATGATTGCTCAGTCCTAGAATACACATACTATAATTCTAGAATTGCTAATTCATACCCTCATGAAAAGCAAGTTTACTGGTGTCGACCAATAAAGATCTGAGGCTATAAAAGAAAAGTTTACCTGGGGTCTTAAAGGATTCGAATCGAAGAGATGCAGATTCAGGTAACAACCCAAAGTCCTGGATCGAACGAAGGAAGGCAGGGTTAACAAAGACAAAAACCACAGAATGTAATTCCTTCGTGCAATTGAAGGGCTGGTTAACAGGGTTTGGTTAGTTCCGATATGGAAGTGAGGGAAGTGAAAACTACTAAGGAAGGAAGTAAAAGTCCATGTATATCCACAAAACAGTTCTAAGATATTTATGGTTCCAGCATGTTTATGGGTCTGCCTTGAGCTGAGTACAGCAACAGGTTTTGGTTTTTGTTTTTTTTTTGTTTAGCAACAGAGTTAGCTAAGTAAAAGCAGCTCTGAAAACGGAGGCACAAAATGTGCATAGGCCCCACTTGGTTAAGAGCCTCTGGGCTCCACTTTAAGTGACTCTTAGCAATTTTTTTTTTTCCATTATCACTAACTAGAGGGCAGCATTTGAGTACAGGTCTTTATAGCCTTACAGCATTTAGTTAAAATACTCTTTGCCAAAGTTACTTAGTCCTTTTCTTTCCTAACACTTCAGTGTGGTTATGTTATTCAATGGTTGGACAGTCAGGACCATTTGCTGTTGCTTGTGTTCCTTTTTTGGGTCATTACCCCCATCTCATTCCTGGTTGGTTGATTTTATATATATGTATGTACGAATATTTTTTTGTTTGGGTATGTGAAACATTACTATGGTTATGAAAGTCAGACATATTCAGAGAAGTGTCATTGCCCCCTCATCCCTTCTACCCAGTTTCCTTCCATCCTGTTCCCATTCCAGGGGTCCTTTCACCCACATCCCACCCACACCTGGTCCAACCATCCTCCTTAGTTTTTGGTTTATCCTTCCGTTTCTTTTTGCATAAATGACCAGAGGCACATTTTTTTATACTTCTTTTTTCTTGCCATTACACAAAAGATAGCACACTACCTTTTGCACTGTGGTTTTGTTTTGTTTTTTTTAAATTTAGCAATATACTCTGGAAATCACTCTATATCATAGAGATGACTATTTTTTAAAAAATGCCATTCATGTATACACAAGACTGCATCTAGTATGGCAGTTAAGAAGCATCGTAGTAAAATGAGCACCCGTGAACACACCACCCCATGAAGAAGGAGAACATCACCAGTACTGCTGCATTTGTGCTCCTCCCCAACCCAACTCCCAGCTTCCCGCCCCTTAGAGGTAACAACTGTCTTGAACTTTTGTGTTAATATAGTCTTAACCTATTTTTAAAAATAATTTTATGACATATATATGTAAATGTGTTTAGTTTTGAGCTTTATGAAAATGACATAGTGTCTGTAGTTACCTGGGACTTATGTAGCTCAATATTATGTTCCTAAATTCACCCATGTTGTCTCTGTAACTGTGAGTCACTCACTTTTGCTGCTCAGTAATGTTCCAATGATAAAAACTATATGACAACTTATTTATGTATTCTCAGTGGACATGTGAGTTGCTTCTAGTTTTTGGTGATTAAAGTGCTGCTGATGATGAATAATTCTGTATGTATCTCCCACATGTGAGAGTTTCTCTGGGGTATACGTTTTTAAATGTAGACATGAATGTCACATTTTATCAAATGCCTTTTGGCACCTATTGAGGTGAAGAGTATGTTTATTTCTTTGATTCATGTAGAAAAGTATACTAATTTGTATCCTAATATTGAGCTTTATTTGCATTCATGGGATGATCCCTCTTATTCATGGTATGTCATTTTAATGAGTTGCTGGAGTCTTTCTTATTATGTAGGATATTTTGCATCAATACCCATAAGTGAGATTTGTGTATGGTTTTATATCAGTATTGTGCTGGTGTTACGCAACTCAAGAGGTTTGCCGCTTACGGTGTTCTTTTCAAGAACAAGATGTGGTGGTTGTTAGGTAGCCTTACCTGCTTGCACCAAGTAAAGGAGATGGGATTCACATCCAAAGCTGTTTCCCTGGAAGAGAGGCTTGGCCATTGCTTTTGTACACTATTTGGTCAATTACATATCGATTTCTTCTTTTGCAGTTGGCTGTTTGTCTGGAATTGGTTTACTACATGTTGACTTCCTTCCTTGATTCCTTCCCTCCTCTCTCCCTCCCTTTATCCCTCCCTTCTTTTCTCCCTTTCTTCCTTCCTGCAGTTGGCTAAACTCTTGGGTTGGGTGGTCAAGCTCATCCTGGGTGGACAAACTCATCTAGCTACAGCTGCATCTGCAAAATACTTTGCTACACTCTAACAGTTAGCAAGAACAGCAGTTAGTAAGAACTGCCCTGACCTTGATACCCTTCTCCTGTCTAACACTGGCATGATCAAAAGACTAGAAAGCTTATTTTGCTCTTTTCTGCTACAGTTTAGTGTTGGAATTACTCATTTATTCAGGATTTGAAAAGATTTGCCCATGAAACATATGGGGTCAGTGTTTTGTGAGAGTTTACGTTATTGGCTATCTCAGTTTTGGTAAAAGTAACCACAGAATACAGAGAAAAATCTGTAGTAAAATTGGTAGAGTTGGTTCATTAGATTCATATAGAATCATATAGAATTAGATTCCTATGTTCTTCCAACATAGAATAAGTTTCATTTTAAGCATCTATAGACTTTTTTAAGTGGACACTTCAGCTATTAAAAAAAAAATTAAAAATCTTTAAAGCAAGAGTAAATATATCAGGCTGTTTAAACACCATGCAGTAAAGCCAGAAATTGTGAACAGAGAAGAAATTTGTAGCATACTATCCGATACAATTCTTTGGTCAGAGAAAAATACAGTTGCTGAATTAGCTATAAAACAGTAATTAAAACATAACATAAAACCTCTGGAATGTGGCTTATAGTGTGTTCAGAGGAAAATTTATGGCCTCGTGGGTTTTAATTGCCAAATAGAAAAGTTTGAAAATAAATGAATAAGTCACACAACCTCAGGAAGTTAGACAAGAAGGCTTTTATAGTCTGGTTTCCCCCAAAAGCAGAACACACGACAAAGATTTGTGTGCAGGTAACTTATCTGGGAATGTAGTCCGGCGCAGAGGGAAAGACAAGGCGGGTGACACGGAGTGAAGGAGAGCTATACGTGGGTGCTTTGTCAGTTTGGCCCTTCTGCATCTCACTGGTGCTCTATCTTGCAGGATCTTGGAAGAGAATTGGAATCTCAAGTCAGGGACTAACGAGGAAAACATTTATCCATTGACCTCTGTCCTCTGTTCGTCAAGGGTGGCACCGCAGGCCACCCTTGCACTTCAGGGATCAGCAAGTGTCCACAGCGTTCTGCAGGCGTTTTATGCAGGACGCCAGAGAAACCCCAGGGCAGGGGTCAGGAGTCTGCAGTGTAGGTTCTTACAGAAGTATTGGTAGGTTGCACCTGCACAAAGCTGATCTAAGCTTTTGGAACTGGACTAAGAGTGAAACAAGAGGAATAGAGTGGTGCGTAAGGTGTCTCTTACAGAGCTAAAGAAACGGAGAGAGCAGAACCTAATGAATTAGAAACAAATAGAAAAAAGAGCAGTATTGTAAGTAAATAAAAAAGCTGGCTCATTGAAAATGAAACATTAAAATAGATAAACCACTGCTGAGCCTTATTGTATTAGTCTGGGATGCCATAACAAACTACTGTTGACTGTGTGGCTTTAAACAACAGGAACATACCTTATAGTTCTGGAGGGTGGAAGTCCAACATGAACGTACCGGCTGGTTTGGTTCCTGGCGAGGGCTGTCCTTGGGTTTCAGATGGCTGCCTTCCCACTGTGTGCTCACATGGCAGTGATGGAGAGCTCTAGAGTCTCAGCCCTTTAGATTAGGGCCCCGCCCTTATAGCCTCATTTAACCTTCTTACCTCCTTGACAGTCTTACTTCCAAATATAGTCACATTGGGGGTTAGGGCTTTAGCATATGAATTTGAGGGGGCTACACATTCAACCCATAACACCAAGGAAAAGGTCTAAAAGCACATATATTCAAAAGAAGAAGTGGGAAAAGCAAAGTAGCTCTAGATATGAAAGAAACAAAAAGAATCATAAACCAGTGTTTTCTGCAACTGCACTAAAATTGAAATCCTGGAAGACACAGATGAAATTTTAGGAGAGTATAAATTTCAAGACTGATTTTAGAATCAATGAAAGTCTTGGAAATCAGAAGCTAACCAGTCCACGTATTTTGGAATATGAACAAGGGGCTCAGAGTCTTGGGGCCTAGATGCCATAGTGATTCTCTCTCAGGTAGCTGAGGTCGTGGCTTCTTTGCTGTCTGAAGGCTGGAAAGTATGAGGATGCAGCCTGGTACCTCATCTTCCTCCCAGTAAGTCTGGGCCATGAGGAAGGCTGACCTCGTGAGGTCTCTACAGAGACATTGGGACTCTTGAGGACAGTAAGCTATGTGAGGAAACAGGCAGGATGCGGGGGAGCAGCTGTTCCTTTGCAGGTACCGCCTCCCTGGACCCGCCTCGGAGGCCTCTGTGCTGGGCTGCAGCCCCTTCAGCCTGTCTTCTCTTGCAGTATAATTGAGGCTGATAGTTGTGTAGAGAAAGAAATAATTCAAAGATCTTGGTAATGTTCTGTCTCTTGAGCTGAATCATGGATACACCAGTCTTTGTTTTATTATTCTTCAGGCTCTGCATACGTTTTTATGGTCTACTTTTGTATGTACGATATATGTCAGAATTGTAAAATCTTAGGGTTCCTGGTAGTGAGCATCAGTGTCGTGGCTGGGAGGAGCCCTGGGTACCGAGCGAGCGAACAGAACACCACCACCTTCCTATGGCCGCTCCTGCTCGCACTCCTGTCTGGACACAGGCTGCCTGCATCTTGGGTCTTCTGTTCCTTATTGGGGTGGCTTGCCTCACACTTGCCTCTCTGTGTTTCTCTTAGCTCCCGCCCTTCTCTGAGAGGGAGACCAAGGAGTGGCAACCATGCTCCTGACAGCCTGGCCGCAGGTGAGCTGTGGGTTCTTCAGGTCTTCCTCTGAGCAGTTTGAAATTGAAGAAGCTGAGAAGGGAAACTGGAGAGGACCTCCATGCTTGCGCCTGCCAGACTGGAACTTGTGGAGAGTGGCGATGTGAAGGGATGGAAATAGCAGGAAAGCAGGCGCGAAGGCAGGGATGTAGCCTTGGACACACGGAGGTTCTTTGTTCCTCTGGTACAGGGGCTCCCCCCAGCAGAGGGCTCTATGGAGCAGGAGATGTGGAAGCTGACTGTGTACGATGCTCTGTGTGGGATGTGAACGGAGGAAGTAGCAGAGAACTGGGGTTCCCGGGAACTGGGGTGTAGGTGAAGAGGAACCAGATCAATGTACACCTGGCTGTGCTTCTAATTCAGGGGAAGATGAAGGGACAAGGGTCAAGGGAGGAAAAAAACTGGAAGCCCTGTGGGACATGAGGCCTCATTGTGTCCTGAGAGGTTTTCGGGGCTTGGGGTGCAGTGACTCAAACTTTAGGTCTCTGATTAAGAGCTCTGCACCCTCTACCCCAGAAAAATATACATGCAAACCAGATTTTCCATACAATTTCAGGGACTTCATGGACCCCCTGAAGCTCATCCATGGACCTCCATGGACTGCAAGTTGGGAATAATCATAGTCACAGTAACTCCAGCAACATCGTTTGAGGCTTCCCATACTGCAGGCACCCTATTAAGCACTGTCATGGATGGCTCATTCCTGACACCTGCCCTCTGAGATAGGTGCTCTGTTGGACTCAAAGGCAAAGGGAGATAGAGTGACTTGCCCAAGGTTACACAGCCATGGTGTGAATCTTAAATTTTTTAAAATTGATTTTAGAAAGAGAGCAACATCGATTTGTTGTTCCACCTATTTATGCATTCATTGGTTGATTCTTGTAGGTGCCCTGAAGGGGATTGAACCCACAACCTTGGCGTATCTGGACCCTGCTCTAACCAACTGAGCTACCTAGCTAGGGCCCACTGTGTGATTCTTAACGGCCCAGCCTTATGATATGTATGGAACCAGTGATGTTAACTTTGTCAGATTTGTGACGGCTGTGTAGGGAATAGCTTTCATGGAGATTCAAAGCCAGGGTGATCGCTTCAGAAAGAATTCCACTGGTCCAGGCAATGTGGCCTTCCTCGAGGGAAGCACTTGTTAAAGAGGGGGGTTCTAATTCACGTAATGTTTCAGATGAAAGTCTTTAGGGCCTAGAGTCAGAATTAAGGAGATAAGGGTAAGGGAGAGGGAGGAGTTAAGAATGAATCCCCACGGTTCTAGCTGAGGATTCCTGCATAGATGGTGGTGGGTAACACCAGCTGAGTTGTGAATTCAGGAGGAGACGCCCACTTAACTAGGTAAAGGGTGGTGGCAGCAAGCAGTGAAGGCATCTAATTTTGTGCAGAGAAGTTACTTGATCTGTCCACGGTCACACAGTGAGTGACTTACAGAAAAACCCAGAAGCTGGACTAGATTTGTCACTGAGTGGAGAGGTTGGTAGAGTTAAGCAAGACAGATCCTGGCACAGAGGAGTTAAGGGCAAGTCCCTGCCAGTGTGTCCCCAAGGGTGTTAGAGGAGGCTGAGTGAGGCAGAGAGCAGCCGGAGGAAGAAAAGTGCATTTTTGGGTGAAGTTGGGAAGATGAGGCTTAAATAGAAGACAGTAACAGAAAATGTTGGGTTTTCAGCAACAGCCATCTCGAAGCAGATTGGGCTGCTACCTTTACCCCTTGACCGTTGGTCTCCAAGCCGATCTGTGCAGCACTAAGCTTCCTCTGCTGGAGGTTCTGAAGCAGAGGCTGCACAGCCCCTTGCTGGGAAGTTGGTGATGGGAATCAGGCTGCGGATGGGGCTGGATGAGATGGAAGCTATGGCCGCTCCTTGGGGGTGGCTCAAGGTTTGTGGGTGAGGGCAAGGTGTGGGGAGCAGCACAGGGCTGACCTTAGGCGCAGGGAGCAGATTGAAGCCAAGATCTGAAGATGAAGTAGGAACGCTGGTGGGTCATTCCGGAGCTGTGTTTGCCGGTGAGGGAGTGGTTATATTATATTTTTGTAAGTATGAACGTGGCATGAGGTTTCTTTGCCATGAGAGAGGTCAGATATGCTCTGGTTATTTTCCAGGTGTTTTTCTCAAATCTTTCGCCTCGTTATTAATTTCGTGCTCTTCACAAGCTCCCTCCCCAAGCCCTTATACTGCCCTCTGCCCCTCACTTAGGGCCTGAGCCATGGAATTGGCCCTAGGGCAGCAGGAACCTGTTGTTTCAGAAGTTGGTGACCTTCGAGGATGTGGCTGTGTACTTCACCCCAACGGAGTGGGATGGCCTGTCCCCTGCACAGAAGGCCCTGTACAGGGATGTGATGCTGGAGAATTATGGGAATGTGGCCTCCCTGGGTAAGGCCTCTCCCCCTGCACCCAGATTCTGCCTGTTGGGGCTTCCTGACTTCCTTGTCCCTTACATGTTATAGGGAGTCTCTAGTAATCCTTTACTGAGGGGGAACCGCAGAGCCTCAGATTCCCTATCTCTTGGACCCAGGGGCTGCTGGGAAGAGCAAACCCCGAGCCCTTTTTGCAATCAGTGTCGGACTTTGCTGGGACTAGTGTGCATTTTTTTTATTCCAACCTATGGAGGCTGTGTATTGGACCCAGTGTGGAAAAAAGTAACTTCTATTTCGTGGCATTATGTTTAGTTTCCCCCTCACCCTGCCTACATCCGAGGTCTGTCCAAGGATGTCAGTGTACTCTGAATATCTCAGGCCAAGCTTAGAAAATGCCGTTTGGGCAGATTCTCCCTGTTTGTTCTGCATGAAGTCTCTTGGGTCCAAGGTCTGGGCCCTTCTCAAGACCCCTCCCCTAATATACCTTCTAAGAACCTCCCTCCCGCCCCCCAGTCCTTAGGCATGGACACCCTGGGGCTCTTAACCTTCTGTCTTCATTGTGGAGACAATGAGAAGAGGTTTAGGAACTCATCCATGGGAGATTATTCACCCTTCTCTACTATTTTCTTGCCCCCCAAACAGGATTTCCACTTCTCAAACCTGCTGTGATCTCACAACTGGAAGGAGGAGGTGAGCTGGGGAGCCCATCTCTGCTGGCTGCTGGAGTAGGCACCGACCCTCCAGGCCTCTGGACAGGTAAGGGGGGCACATATTGTCCATTATGCTGGAAAGTTTAATTCTTTAGGAAGAAAGAGTTAGCATGTAAGCATGAGTTAACATATTAGCAACATGTAAGCATGCCACATTTATTGGCCAGCTGTACAGAGTAAAATTTAAATAAATTTTAATGATTTATAGAGATAGGTTCAATTGAGACCTTTTCTGACTATTTTCACAACTTGCTATTTCTTTCTAATTCAAAGAATAGCTCATTTTTCCTATGCCTCATTCTAACTCTTGAATCCTAATTTTGGAATTCTACCTTGCTCAGAAAGAAATGAATGGATTCAGTAATTTGGGTGGGGGTTCTTGCTTTATATCTAATCATCGTCCATTTAATGCGGAGGATGCAGAGTCAATAGTCTTTTTTTACACAAAATGGCATAATAGCCTGGTGGTTAAAAGCAGAGTTTTTGGAGCAGACTTTTTGAGGTTCAGTCCCAACTGTGCTACTTTCTAGTTGTGTGGCTTTGAGCAGGTCCGTTATTTAGTTTTCTGAGAATCAATGTGCCCTGTGTGAAAATGGAATAATAATAAAGCTATGTTATCAGAGCTAGTTTTACAGGTTGAGGATTAAATGAGATAATGTGTCTTGTGCGTGGTTTATAGTGTGTGCTCAATGATATATTAGTTTTTATTATTTTTGGTGTTTTGGAGGAGACAGCTTTATATAGTAAGCTGTAGGGAATAAGGCTGGAGGGAGGGAGTGCTCTCATTTCAGTTCATCTCGAACCATGTGCAAATGAATTGCCTGGGAGTCTTACAAATATGCAAACTGTTATTCAGTAAGTGTGGTGTAGGGCTAAGATTCTGCATTTCTGTTAAGTTTCCAGGTGATGCCAACGCTTCTGGTTCCCAGACCACACTTAATGTAGTGAGGTTCTCATTGGCTCAAGCAGAGTAGCTACTGGGTGATTTCCCATTTCCCACGTGATCAAGCTTTACTTCCTGCATTTGGGGCCATAAGAGTCTCTTACATCTCTTCAATGAATCCTCCTTTTTAAAAAGATGGTTTCAGGGATTTTTAGGGATTCAGCCAGATGATCCCTGACCAACGAAGACATGTTTTAGACATGGAGAGTTTGAAGTGATTGGCATACAGAGGAAGAAGAGAAAAAAAAAGATATTTAATTAAGAAGCCTAGGTTTCATTCTGTAGGCAGCGGATAGTCCTGAAGTTTTTGAACAACTCATCATGCTCTCAGCTGAAGATAGAAACATTGATCTGGTTAGTGTGTGTTGGTGTATTGGGGCGAGGACTCAGATGGGTTCTAGGCAGGCAGAACGTGTTGCAGGGTACAGGGCCCGTGTCAGCAGAGTTGACCTTCTTTAAAACAAACAAACAATCAACCCCCTATTGCCCGCCCCCCACTTTCTCAGAAGTCCCATCCAGTGATTTCTGTTTAAATCTTATTTGTTGAAACTAGCAAATGGCCATCTCCACTGCAAGAGAGGGTGGCAAATACAGTTTTTAGCTGTAATTTTATTGTTACCTCATACAAAAATGGAGCATGTGCTAGTAAGAAGGAAAGGGAGAGCAGATTTTTGATCAACCAATAACCAGTAACATGTGCCACACAATAGGATTTGGTAAATAGGTCACTAGTATAGAAAAACTGGCAAAGAATGTAAGTGGTTTATCCACATAAAAAGCCCTACATATTTTAATCAACGTAAAAAGTGTTCACCCTCAGTAGAAATCAGTGAAACAGAAATTAAAATGAGATGTCCCACCTATATATTGAAAACAACTAAATTATAGTAAGTGATGGTGAGAATACAACAAAACGAGTAGACTTCTGGAGGAGAATGTGAATTGGTACTTTTGCTAAAGAATACTTTAGCAATATATATCAAGAGCCCTTTAAAAGTTTGTACTTGATAAACTGGATAATCCCTTTTAGGGCTATATACTAATAAAGTAATTGAGATATAGACAAAGATGCCTGTGCACAAAAGTTCATTATAATTTTATATAATAAAATACTGGAAATACCTGAATTTTCACATAGAATGGTTAAATTAAGGTGCCTCTCAAAAAATACAAATTTCTAGTTATATGTATTAAGGATGCAATATACAACATGATGTCTACCCGGCACTGCTATAGGATATTTAATAAAGTTGTTAAGAGTAAATCCTGGGAGTTCTCATAACAAGGAGAACATTTTTTCCATTTTTTTTTTTCAAGATTTTATTTACTTTTAGAGAGAGTAGAAGGGAGGGAGAAAGAGAGGGAGAGAAACAGCAATATGCAAGAGATACATTGATTGGTTGCCTCTTGCACACCCCCAAGTGGAGACCTGGCCCGCATACCAGGCATGTGCCCTGACCAGGAATCAAACTGGTGACCCTTCAGCTTGCAGGGGGGCGCTCAGTCCACTGAGCCACACCAGCCAGGGCTCCTTTATTTTTTTCTTTTTAAAATTTTATCTATATGAGAAGATGGATGTTAGCTGAACCTATTGTGGTAATCATTTCACTATATATGTAAATCAAACCATCATGCAGTACGCCTTAAACTTACACAGGGATGTCTGTCAATTATTTCTCAATAAAACTGGGAAAAATTAAGGTATCTGTGCAAGAGGGAGTACTATCTAGCAATTAAGAAATATTTTTAGAGAATATCTAAAAACATTGGAAAATTATTAATATGAAGGAAGAAAAAAATTTCATGTTTGAAAAAAATGTTTTGAGAAAAATGATTGAAAGGAAAATGATTGGGGAAGAGATACCTCAGAAGATCAGCAGTAGTTATTGTTAGGTGGTTGTATTTCGGGTAATTTGAATTTTCTTCTTTGTGAGTTTCTGATACAGATGGATATTATTTTTATAATTGGGGAGAAATCAATAGTATTTTGAAAATGTTTGCTAGGGAGATTCAGGTGATGTGGGTCTATTGAGGGTGATTTTAATAACATACTGGGAAAGGGAGCATATTACATGTGAGGAGAGATGAGAGATGGAAAATATAGAGACAGCATTTTGGGCTCACTTTTGAGAAATTTGGGAACAAATGCAGTGATCAAATGTAGCTCTGTTGGGACTATAGAAAATATAGAAAGATGAATGAGTTTATATAAAGAATTTTAGGAAATGACCAATTTTAGGGCTGAGTAAAGTGAAAGGAAAGGCAAGGAGGATGCAGCAGTGTTCTGTGTGGGAAGGGATGGGATTAAAGGGATCAACCGCGGGCCTAAACAGAGCCTTTCTGAAATAGAGAAAGAAGGAATCGAAGGAGGAGTTTTGGAAAGCCTAGAATTTAAGTTTTAAGGAAAGAACCAAACTTCTTTCCCTTTTGCTTCTTGGTACTGCTGACACTTGCCATCCCTAGTATTGCCACTTGTTGTTGGATTCTGTGCCTCTTCCTTCTTGAGCAACTTCCATTTGTGTTAACAAGGGACTCAGTGACATAGGGATAACTGAGGAGAAACCACAGAGTATAGTAAAGTATGGTGTGATGGAAAAAATGCTCATTTAATGGATAAGACCTAGAATTTTGTTCCACTGCTGTCTCTTTGAAACTTCATGTTATTGGTTATTGGTGTAGAGACAGGTAATCTTTTAAAATCATTACTTTAAAATTTATAATGCTGGCACATGCTCAGAAGAACACAGAAAGTATATGAAGTGTGTGTGTTGGGGGGAGTGGGGCGGGGGAAATCTACCAAAAGCTTCCTGTGTCAGTTTGCTCAGTTTCTGGTACCTTGTTCCAGAAGTTTTCTAGGCACATACAAATATGTGTGTCTATGTCAGTCCTTTTCATTTTCCTTTATACAAATGGAATGTACTCTACATACCATTTCTCAACCTGTTTTCCCATTTAATAGTATAGCTTGGACATCTTTTTCCTGTCAGTGTATATGGATTTATTTCATTGTCTTGCCAGCTACATATTATTTTACCTCATGGATGAACCTTAGAGTCTTTGACCTAGATTTTAAAGACCTCCTTGATTATTATGATCCTTTATTCTTTCTAGCATAGTTCTTTTTTTCTAACATGGTTCTTATGAGACATTTTATGTTTTCTGTTTTGTTTTTTTTTTAATAGTAGATATTGATATCCAGACTGACAGCGATATAACAAAGGAACTGTACAAAGAAAAACATAATACATCATTTGTACTTCAGGGGAACTTTTCTCAGGAACCAGACTTCTCAGAGGCCTATATTGTAGTAAAACAACAGCAGGGAGTCCACCCAGTAGGAAGTATGAAGAAAGAAAACAGCATTGTCATTGATGGAACAGTGAAAGACAACACAGGCCCCACGGAGGAGTGTTTCTTTAGTCAGAGTCCGAACTTGAACCAGCGTCATACCATCATCTCCACTGGAGAGGAACCTGATAAGTGTATGGGATTGAAGAAAGCCTTGAGCTTTGACACAAAACTTACTTATCATGAAATAAGTAATTCCAGGGAAAGACCTTTTGAATGTGAAAAATTAGTGGAAACCTTCAAATATAACTCTCAACTTCATCATCATCAAGATAGCTGCACTGGAGAGGAGCCCTATCAGTGTAAGGAGTGCGGCAAAGCCTTTAGTGTTAAGGCAAAATTAATTTGGCATCAAAGACATCATAATGGGGAGAAACCCTTCAGATGTGTGGAGTGTGGGAAAAGTTTTAGTTACAGTTCCCATTACATCACACATCAGACAGTTCACAGTGGGGAGAAGCCCTATCAGTGTAAGGTATGTGGGAAAGCCTTCAGTGTTAACGGGAGTCTGAGCAGGCATCAGAGAACCCATACAGGTGAGAAGCCCTATCAGTGCAAGGAGTGTGGAAGTGGCTTCAGCTGCAGTTCTGCATATATCACACATCAGAGAGTCCATACTGGGGAGAAACCTTATGAGTGTAATGATTGTGGGAAAGCTTTCAATGTTAATGCAAAATTAATTCAACACCAGAGAATCCACACTGGAGAGAAACCTTATGAATGTAATGAGTGTGGGAAGGGCTTCAGGTGCAGTTCTCAGCTTAGGCAGCATCAGAGTATCCACACTGGAGAGAAGCCCTGTCAGTGTACAGAGTGTGGGAAAGCCTTCAGTAATAATGCAAAACTCATTCAGCATCAGAGAATCCACACAGGTGAGAAGCCATACAAGTGTACTGAATGTGGAAAAGCCTTTAGTATCAAAGGGAAGTTAATCCAGCACCAGAGAATCCACACAGGTGAGAAGCCCTACAAGTGTAAGGAATGTGGAAAAGCCTTCAGGTGTAACTCCCAGCTCCGGCAGCATCTGCGAATCCACACTGGAGAAAAGCCGTATGAGTGTAATGAGTGTGGAAAGGCCTTCACTGTCAATGCAAAACTAATACAGCATCAGAGGATTCACACTGGGGAGAAACCCTTTGAATGTAATGAGTGTGGGAAATGTTTTGCTTCTAAAAGAAACCTACTTGACCATCACCGAATCCATACTGGAGAAAAACCTTATCAATGTAAAGAATGTGGGAAAGCCTTCAGTATCAATGCCAAACTAACTAGGCATCAGAGAATACACACTGGGGAGAAACCTTTCAAATGTATGGAATGTGAGAAAGCGTTTAGCTGTAGTTCTGACTATATTGTACATCAGAGAATCCATACTGGAGAGAAACCCTTTCAATGTAAGGAGTGTGGAAAAGCTTTCCACGTCAATGCTCATTTAATTCGGCATCAGAGAAGTCACACTGGAGAGAAACCCTTCAGATGTGTGGAGTGTGGCAAAGGCTTCAGCTATAGTTCTGACTGTATTATACATCAGACTGTCCACACTTGGAAGAAATCCTATGTGTGTAATATGTGTGGGAAAGCCTTCAGGTTTAGCTTCCAACTTAGTCAGCATCAGAGTGTCCATAATGAAGGAAAATCCTAATGAGAAGGATGTGGAAAACGCTCAAGATTAATGCTGAACCGAATTGGGTATCAGTAGATTTGCCCTGGTGGAAAACCCAGAGAGAGATGAATGTGGCAGCCCTCACATGGAAACAAACTTTTTTCATTTTATTCCATTTTAAATCAGGAATGATGGCCAGTTAAAAAGTAACATTCAAAAACAAATAGTTTCTTTTATACCAACAACCAATTAGAATATATCCCATTACCAAAACCATCGAGAAAAGTAGATTTTTCTAGGAATAAACTTAATTATAATGCAGGACCTACATGGATCTCTAGTGATGGCCACAAAAGCAACTTAAATAAATGGAGGAGAGAGAGAAACCTTGTTCTTGGATAGAAAAATTTAAAGATATTCCCTCTACTTAATTTATTTCCCTTTGATTATGACAACAAGCATGTGTCACTTTTGTAAAGAGGAAAAATAATAAAGATTTCCTTAAAAAAGGAGGAATGTGAGTAAATTTGCTTTTCATGGAATAGAGAAAACCTTTCTAAGCATCAGATGAAATCTAGAAACCAAATAAAATGGAAAATACTGATAAATTGACTTTAAAATTAAATACTTGTTTTTGTTTTAAATAATCCCAAATAAGGTTAAAAGATAAATCACAGATGTAGAAATACCTTTGTAAAATTTGTTACATAAAAGTAATATATGCAAAGAGGTCTTACCATTAAGAGAAAGATAATAAAACCCCACAAACGGCACTAGCAGGCAGCTTTTAAAAAGATAGAGAAATGACTAAGATGTTCAGTCTGGATAGTACTCAGAGTAAAAATTTAAACATGCATACAACCACACACAGGAAGCCCCCAAACCTCTCTCCCACAGACACAAGATGCACACACAGACCCTCCTATAGTCACACAAATCAAACATGGATGTACATAGACATAGGCCACCTCCCTGCTCCAGGCATGCCTGCTTCTGTGCTCTCTAGCGTGAGTGCGTGTGTTGGCTCGGAGTGCTGCCTTGGCTACTTCAAAAGAAGTATTCCTTTCGGAAAACTAATTACAGTATAGGACTTGATCAATGTCCAGAGATCCCATTGTATAAGTCCCTCTCCCCTGTCCCCATGCTAGGACCTGTCTGGAGGCAGACCTTGGAGCTGGACCCTACTTTGCCTGGCCCCCTCACCCTGCTCCTCTGGGAAATTCCAGACCACTGAGACCCAGAAGCGCCCCAAGTCACGGGTTCCAAGTCCATTTAGTTACAGGAAAACAGGCCCAGAGACAGATGGCACTCTCCCTAGTCACATAGCAAACTAGTGGCTGATGTGATCACTTCCCCAGGCCAGAGGAGGTTAGAAGGCCACAGCTCGCTCTAACCCTCCTGGGTCACAGAGCCTGTAGGTGGCTTCTGAATGTGCCCGTCAGGGGAGGTGGGGACAGGAAGTCCTACAGTCCTGGTTCCCAGCAGGGTCTGGCAGTTTCTGCTGTGGCAGAAACTAGGCAGGGACTTGAGAAGGGTCAAGAGCCACTGAAGACAACTTGATGTCCCAGATCTGCCACCAATGTTCTCTGTGACTTGGCCTCTCTGGGTCTCAGGCTCCTGGTCAGCCTAGGGGTTGGGGCTGGTCCCAGGCCTCCGGGCCCGTCCTACCTGAATGGTCACTGAGGGTGTCCTACCTCTCTGTACCTTTGGTTTTGTCCAGGGCAGGTCCTTTTCTTCAGAGCCCGAGGACACTAGGAGAAAGCGGACACCTGGAAGGCCGCATGAAGTCCTGTGGCCCCGTGGCCCGGAACTCCCTGGGTCCAGTGGAGGCCTTCCAAGGACAAAAGGGAGCCACGGTGTTGGAGACCCTGTCCCCTCACAAGAGCACTTTGCTGACTTGGAGCCATGGGCCTGGAAGAGCCAGGATTAGTCTTTGTCCTTCCGGCGTGGTCAGCGTGTTGTGTCCCTGCAGCGCAGGGCGCCCTCCCACCCCAGCCTGTCCCCCGGGACGGGCCCTCAGAGAGTATGTGGTTCTGCCGGGTCGAGGTCAGGAGGGGAAACAGGCTCAGAGGAGGACATGGCTGCCGCACGCCCTCAGCAAGTCTGGGAAGAGACTGGGGCGAGAGGCCCAAGCAGGGCCCAGGTGGGTGGGTCCTCAGGCCCGGGCAGGCAGGGCTCAGTGTCACCTGGGGTGGGGGTTGGCAAGAGGCTCCGCACCACCCTCCCCTCCTCGCGGTGGGCAGAGGGTGCTGAGAAGTGGCTTCCGGGCTCTCGGCCTCGGAGGTCTCCATTCTCCCCAGACCCCAGACCCCAGACCCCCTCGGTCCGCTGTCCTATCCTGACGAGGACCCAAGGACACCCTTCCCCTTACACGGTCCGCTCCGCTCAGCTGAACGTTTGTGGGAGGCAGGCCCCTTCCACGTGCCGCGGCTCGCCGGCGCCGGGGAAGCCGAGGTGAGCGAGCCTCGGCCTTCTCCGAGAGCTCCCCGCAGCCCCTTCCCCCATCTCCCAGGCGCCACCGGCACCGCACACCACGTGGTCTCGGCACATCCGACAGCTCCCAGGACTCCCCGGGGGCCCCAGCCCGGGCTGAGCTCGCCTCCGGCAGCCCGGGGCCTGAGCTTTCCTCCTGCTCCAACTTCTCTCCCACTGCTCACCAGCTGTACCCGCGCGGGCTGCTCCCGTGGCCCGGGTGATCCTGAAGTGTGGCCCTCATCCCCTCCGGGCCACTGAAATCCCACCCACGCTCAGCCCAAGCCCAGCCTCCAGGAAGCCCTCCCCAGCTGCATGGCCGCACGGCACCACCTCTCCTGGCTAGTTTCCTTCAGCCCGCCACGGTAAGGGTAGTTGCGCGTGTCCGCGCCGTCCACCTTTGGCCCAGAGCCCACGTGCTCCTAGCGTGTGGACGCGACGCTCCGGATCCCACCCGCCTTGAGCCGCGGGCGCGCGGGGTCAGGAGGCGGGGGACGGCTTTCCCCAGCGACCCTTCACTCCCTGGGCGGCCTTGGGCGCGCGCCTTCTCTCCCTGGGCCTGTTTTGACCGCCGCGTGAGAGGGGGCAGGGACGTCGGGCCTGCGTGTCCGGTGCCCTGAGACTTGCAGTTGGACAAGGAGAAGCCATTAGGAGTCACTGGCCGCTAGGCTTGGCCTCCTGCTACCCCTGGTGGTCAGTTCGCTCACTGCAGGGCAGGAGCCGCCACAGCCCACTCTCCTGGAAGGGCGGGAAAACAACCCCAAGGACAGTCTGATCCGAGCTCTTGGAAAAACTGGCGCATCTGCTGGGCTTAGTTGGGGGCGGTGACGGGGGCTGGACATGATCTGAGAGACCCGGAAGGCCTGCAGGGGCGCCTGACTGCGCGAGGCTGGGCGGGGGCAAGAGCCAGCGTCCCCCTGCATCAGAAGAAGTCTCAGAATGGTTAGGCCAGCGCCCAGCAAACTTTTTTTTAAAAGAAACACCACCCCTCACCCCAACCCCAGAGGCCCATACTGTAAACTTACATAAGTAGAGCTATTGTGGAGGACTGTGAACGGGGGCCAGTTGCCAGCGGGGCCATGAGAGTGAAAGGCAGTGGGCTTTGCTTAGAGGTAAAGGGTCCAGGGTCCAGAACTGGAGTCCGTAGGCAGGATCCAGAGTACAAGAGGTTCACAGCGCGGCCGCGGGTGTGAAGTTGGTAAGAACAACACAAGATGGGGGTGATGGGACCCGCCACCATGCTCTCCTGGGAAGGGCACATGATAAGGAATGGTGGCTGGAGGCTCCCGTGGCAAAGAGGGAGGAAGCGAGAGGAAGCATAGGGACCACGTGAACAGTGAGGAGGGTCCTGGCTATGCCACGCAGTGTCCCTTCTTGAGGGGGGCTCCCCTCCCTCTTCACACTGAGCTGGGCCAAATGCTACCTCCCACTTGCTGGCCTCCCTCTCTTTTTGGTCAGCACTGCTGCCCTGTGTCCTCCCCCAGCTCTCTGCCCTCACTTCCATCTAATCGTCCCCACTCTCTGCCACCCCTCTTCCCCTTTTCTACTTGGAGGTGCTGGTTCATGGGCTCTCCCCTTGGACCACGGGCTCCCTGAGGGTGGGGGGTGATGTCAGTGAATCAGTAAGAAAAGAAGAGTTTTGTGCCTGTGCTTATATCATTTATACATTTTCATCAGCAACAGAAGTCCAGGTTGAATTCCCAGGGGGCTCTAGTGCTGGGTGGGGTGGGGCTGGGAGGAGCAGCACCCTAAGCCCAACCAGCAAGTGTACTGGGTTACAAGCACAAACGTCTTACTGGTGGTAAGAATTGTGTTGCTCTCCTATTGCCCATCAGAGGGCGCTCCAGCCTCCAGATAAACATCTGGAGGCTGAAGTTTGAGGTCCCGCTCTGAGGAACCCAACTCTGGCTTCAGTGTTCATCCACCAAGTACTGGGGCTGCCCACCACCACCGTCACCACATTTGACTATTGCTGGCCTGGGTCTCTGCGCAGGGTCACCAGAGGCTTGCTAGCTCATCTCCTAGGCAAGCAAAGGTAAGAAAACCACCAGCCAAACTGCCTGAGGCCAATAAATGGAACAGAAGAGTGTGTTCGGTGGAAGGGCAGGGCCAGTGGTGGAGGTAAGTGGAGGGAGAGGGCCCAGCTTCACTGCCCCTTCCCCTCCTGCCAGAGACGGCTACCAGACAGAAGGGCTAGGCAGTGCTTCTCAAGTGGGGTCCCCAGACCGGCAGTAACACAGCATGGTGATACACATGGGAACTTCTTAGAAACACAAAGTCTTGGGCCCCGCCCCAGGCCTACAGAATCAGAATCCCTGGGGGTGGGCCAGGCGCTCTGCGTTAACAAGCTCTCCACAGAGTTCTGGTGAGTGCTCAAATTTAAGAACCACGGGATGAGACAGCCGCAGAAAAGAAAGGCTTCCCTGGTCTTCACCGTCAGAGATGCCAGTAAAAGATGGGAGATCACAGAGCCAGGCCTGCTCAAGTCAGACAGGGGGAAGAGAGAGAAAAGTGGCTCCTCCTTCCTCCCATAATCACCCACATTGGTGTCAGCCCACAGGCAGCCTTTCTAAGCAAAGGGGATCCTCCCAGAGATGAAAATTTGAAATGGCTCCTGTGTACAGCCCAACATAACCATCCATCTTTGAACAAACACTGGCTCTTGTGGGCGCGGCCCAAATGCAACCTAAAGACATGTCCCTCTAAAAGTTTCTCACTCCATCTTTCCTCCTGCCATGAATTTACTTGGCAGATCCCCATCTTGCCTCTTGTCCAAGGACACAAGGGTTAATCGGAAATGGCAGCCCAGCGGTGGCTCTGCGGTTGGCTGTGGTTGTGGCCACGCCCGCCCGGTAGATGAGCCATTCAAGGGCCAGGCACCGGACCCAGGTTCTGATCCAGGGCTTGATTACAATTAGGCTCAAGTTTAAAATCTGCACCACTGCGAGGGCAGGGACAGCGCCT